AAATACCTCGTATGTCATCCTAATAAAATAGGAATCACTTGGTAAATCAAATAAATGAGAAACAAAAATATATGCCTATTTTATATTATCTTACGGCTTAAGAGAACGCATCAATCACTGAAGGACGAGGTTACAACAACGGTCAGTGAGTCTCATAACCTTTGCCTTCTGCGGTCCTGTTCAACACTTAACATAAGTGCTAGTGTAATTCTCCAGTCAAAGACCAACTAAATCAAGAATACACTACATTCTTTTTCCAAGTGGGGTCTCACTGCCAGTCTAGACTGTGAACGAATGATTTAGTCTTATAAGGAACCGATAGGTGATCATTCTGTTCGAAACACTTTGAACCACACTATCTCAATATAAGACATGGAGTATGTATTGCATAAATAAATAAACTGCAAACATATGTACTTTGACCGAAACATGATGGCCAGATCAAAATGAAATTGATAGAATCTGCAAAACATAGCTTTTACAACATACCTCTAACAGGTTAGTCAAGTATCTGTGTTTCTGCTTAGACGTCGGTTGATCGGTCCGTTGTTAACCGAGATTGGAAGATCTCTGACGCCGTTTATGGCTAGGTTATTTAGGAAGATCTTGATTATTTTGGGAGGCGATTTAAGTCGGTTGTCAATAGAGCACATAAAAAAAAGTATATAATATAAAAATTTCAAAAGAGTAAAGAATATTGATGATGACAATGTTGAAAACATTTTAGGTTCTCAGTACTCTTTTTCATATTTTTCGTTACAAAGTATTCATTTTCATTGAATAATACTGAGGCAATTAATAAGATATTACTTTCTAAACGAGTTCTTATAAGCCATAATGGTTTGCACGAATATGAAGAAAGAACTATACAAAAAAATAAAAACTACAAACCCTGCCAACTGCAGTGCAAATTTGTCATCTTAAAAAAAAAAGAAAAAAATCGATCTTGCATCTCATTTGTTAGGGGAGATAGAATTAATGAATAATGTGGACCTAATTTTAATATTTTATATTAAGGGCATATTAGTCATTCACACGTTTTATTCTATATCTTATCATGGAAAACACATGTCTACCCCAAAAGTTAACATAATCCCATCTTAGAAGACTCTCCCCTAACAAACATAAATTCCATACCATCTGAACAGTAAAATCTTGTCTTTAATGATAAGATTTGTGTAATCTCATCTCCCCTAACAAATGAGGCCTAACTAATCAACTAGCTTTACTAAATATAGCCTTAACATGAATTGGAGTTTTCAAAACTCGTGTTGCAGATGTAACAACCTAGGCCAAACACGAACATCTGAAACTCAAGCTCGACTTTTTGCCTAAACGAGTACATAAACGAATCACATCCGTCTTGTTAGTATTAATGAGTCAAATCAAATTAATATATTATAAATTTAAGTAGAAAAATACATTTATTGAGACTAACGAAACCAGCTGGAGCTAGACTCGTCTGCAGAACTCAGACAAGGATCTTAGTCTATCGATAATGCTAAAGAACCAACAGTTGACTCCGTTACGGAACCAACAGCCAATGAAACAATTCCAGGAGGGGCTGTCCCACAATACTTTAATGTGGGACAGCCCCACATGGAGTTGTCCAATTGGTTGTTGGCTCCATAAAAAAGCCAACTGTTGGCTCCTTTGCTTAATATATATATATATATATATATATATATAACATGTATTGGTGCGTTAATAAGGCAGTATATCACTCAAATTAGAGTCTCATTCAACGAAACAACAAACAGAAACGCACAAAACACGTGTTTATTAATTACGATGGATATCAATCTTTAGTCCATCAACATTAACATATAACAGCAAGCAAAGAGCACGTGTTTTATGGTGGCGGTCAGCAATCGGCTGGAGGGGGAAGGTTGCACTTGGCGGGAAGGGCGAGGGCGAGGTCGGGGTCGATCCCTAGGGCAGGCAGCATAAACGAGTTCCGATACGAGCACAGGCACTTGAGGTCCGCTCCCGACACCGCGTGGCAGCACTCCGTCGACGGGGGCACTGGGCTCGGCTGCGTAACCGACGGCTTGCACGCCTCTAAACCTTCCTCCGTCACGTTGCACACGCTAAACGCTGCTGCCCTGCCGAGGAATGCCGCCATCAGCGCCAGCACTAGGAACAGGAACTTCGCTGCGGTGGCACCGCCCATGTCTAACTGTCTGATCGAGTTTTTGCTTTTATTTTTTTGGTTTTTTGATGGTGGATGATTTTGTTTATATGTTGATTCGACGTTTTTTTGACAATACTGATTGGGGGTATGTATATAAAGGATGGATGGGGACTGGGGAGTGGAGACATGGAATGGGCTTTCTTTGTTTGTAAGTTTTTGTAGTGTGAGGGTAGAGTTGGGAGCCTCGTGATGGGGAATTTGGCGGGTATCGGGTCACGGGCGCGTGATGCTGTTGATGGGTCCAATGCATTTATTGATGTGATGTTCGACGGATATGTTAGAAAAGTCTTAACACTGCATGATTTCGAGGGGTGTACACCCTGTAAAAAAGGGGTGTACATATAGCATTGCCCTTTGTGTAATTTATTAAAAAGGGGTGTACATATAGCATTGCCTTGTATATATAGCATTGCCCTTTGTGTAATTTATTAAAAAGGGGTGTACATATAGCATTGCCCTAATAACTATTGATTGATTTCTTGAATGCTTTTACGACTAGTGTTACTATTCATCGTCCTTTTTTTTTTTTTACTAAATATCGTCCACTTAAAAGATATTTTTATCTTTTCAATTCAAAAAATAATAATAAAAATTTACTTTTTTTTTTAACTTAAAAAATCGAAAAACATAAAAACCAAAAAAACTATACATACCCTATCAAAAATTTTCAAAAACTTTCAAAAACCTTTCATTGAGAAAAAAAAAACTTTGTAAAAGTCCAAAAGAATACCAAACAATCCGAAAAAAAATCCAACAAAATCCGAATAAATCCGAAAAAAACAGAAAAAATGGGGGGACAATCCTCACGCACCGAGAAAGGGCTCATCAATTCACAAGTAATTTTTTTTTTTTTTACAAATTTAACGAATTTAAAAAAAAAAATTGTCCGCCGGCCGGCCGACGACTGCAGCCGCAGTCAAATGTGTCGGTCGACGATTGCGGCGCATTATGGTTTGGACGACAGCCGACCGCGGCTCATTTTTTGCTGCGGCCGATCCCAACGCGGCCGCTATTCGCGGCTGTTTTTTCAGCTCCGGGCCGCGCGCGGCCGCAAGCGACCGATCCGTCCATTCTGTGCTGCGCGCGACCGATTTGTTTTTTTTGCCGTTTATTTAATTAAAAATGTTTAAATTAAAATATATAATCATTAATATATATATATATATATATATATTAAAACTAATTAAAAAATTTGGTAATAAAATTATATTAATATTTTGAAATAGTAATTAAATATTAATATTTAATAATAAAATTTAATAAAAAAAGAAATATTAATATTTATTAAAATAAAATTTATATACTAATATAATTTAAAATAATATATATTAAAAGTTCTATTAGTAATTAGTATAATTATGATACTAATTACTATAGAATTATTTATACTACTATATTAGTATATATTAGTATTTAGGATAATTATTAGTACAATTATACTAATAATTATACTAACTACTATATTAGTATATATTAGTATATAAAAACTTATATAGTATTTATGATAATTATTATAAAATATTAATAAATTAAATTAATTATAATAGAAAAAATATATTAGTATAAATTATTAAGTTATTGATTAGAATGGATTATCTTATAAAATAAAATTTATTGATAATAAATTTATTAGTATTATGTCAGATTATTTAAAAAATTATAAATTACTATTACTATGTTAGAAGTTATAATTGTTTATTTTGTAAAAATTATTAACATATATCGTAATATATTGCAGGGGTCAGTCGAAGATTTTGGAGGAGAGGGTGTTGATTACGAATGTTGTTTCGCTACAGTGACCTATTTGATAGTTGTGAAAAAGCTGTTGAATGGGCAAAGACATTGCAATTATATGGGGTTCCAATTGATCATCTCGAGACATTTAGAAAAAGGAGGAAAAGAGTTGAGGTGTCATCGAGGGGAACGTTACAGAGGTACTGCAGACAAAGTAGAAAATTTCGTTAATGCTGTTTTGAGACGTTCGAAAACAAAAGCGACCGGCTGGCCTTTTATGATAAACGTCAAATTTGAAGCAACATCCCAAAAATGGTGTATTTCGGTTCCTGTAGATGACGTGAAGGGAACGCATAATCATGCGTTGGCTGTGAATCCCGAGGATCATCGACAGATGAGCTGACTCAGCGATCCATCTAAAGAGATTGTCTGTGATATGACTGCTGCTTAGGCAAAACCGGCAGTAATTCTGGCTGCGATTGAGGAGAAAAACCCTGTGGACAATGAGGCTCGTTGACAAGTGTATAACTATACAGTTATATTGTGGAAAGAAAGTTTGGAGGGTAAAGATGTGGCTGGCCAACTTCTGCATTTGGCTACGGTCAGCAACTACATAGTTTACACTGATGTTGATCCGGACACACAGGCGTTGACATGTGTGTTCATGTCGCATCCACAAGCAGCCAGTCTATTCCAAACATATTACTGGTATGTTGGTATGGATTCCACGTAGAAAACCAACATGTATGTTACGTTACTTTATAAATAGGCAGTTTGTTTGTCCCATTTTTGTTGCGTTTTTCCTTGTTATTTTTCATTTCTTTTTCCCCATATTAGGTCTTATAGATGGTTTTTATTCGTTTTTTATAGTTTATTGTGAGCTTTGCTCTATTTCAGTTTTCTTTGTATTTATCGTGTATTTTTCTAGTTTTTCTTTGTTTATGGTTGTGTAGGTCGGAAGCCTCAGGAGGACCAGATTTCAAGCAAAAATTGGCCATGCAAGAGTAATTATTTAGAAGCTTCGTTAGCGATGAGCAGGAGAAAACGAAATGCATTTCTTAGTTCAAATGAGTTCCAGCGGGCCCGAGACGTAAAGACGTACACGAAGAAGTACAGCTGCCCAGGGCTCCGCGGGTGCGCCGCGCCGCGCCGCGTACCACGAGGCAGACAGAGAGCCCAGTATTCCTTTCCCACGCGCCGCGCTAGGAACTTCCTCCACGCCGCGCTGGCCACCGCGCCGCGACGNAGGCCCTCTTCACGCCGCGACATCTCCCTGTGCTGCGGCAAAGTTCTACTCCACGTCGTGTTGCATCGCGCGGCGCCTTCCACGGCTGTTCAGAGACTATGCATTACTCCCTCGCTCTGCGACGTTCTTCACGCCGCGACTCCTTGCTGTCCTCGCGTCGTGACAAGTTTTCTTTCACATTGTGTCACATGCTATCATATAAATATGTATCGCACGGGACTTTGGAAAATACGTCTCTTGACCGGGTGAAAACCCTAGGTCCCGAGAAAACACGACAGCTCCTCTCTTCTCCTTCTTCTTACTTCTTCTTCTCCATCATTTTTCCTCTTCTTTTAATCTTTCTTCTCTAATTTTCTTCTTCTCTTTATTATTATTTAGGGATTAAACTTTGTATTGTTGGATTCAACATTGGAATGGCGATTAATTGTAAGTCTTCTCTTTATTTTTAATTCATGTGAATGATTGAATTGAGAGAGATGATGAATTCCATTGAATTCATGTTGCTTAGCTAATTCCTATTGCTAGGGATAGGGGATGATTGTTCTTGTTTAACGTGCATTTTTCGGGCTTGAATTGTTTGTTCTTATGTGAGTGCATTTGGTTAGGGATTGATGTATTCTTGCTTGATTAATTGATATAATCGAAGACTGGCACTTCGATCTTGTAATTGGTAATGATTGAATGTTGATTAGTTAAGGTTTTGTTGATTCTATGTGATTAGTTGATTAAACACCTTCTAATTTAATTAGTGACTTTTAGAACCGAAAGGGGAGAAGTCATAGAACCTAGGCTTTCATGAGGTAGATGATTTTGTAACTGAATAATCTATATATTTTGGAATGAAATACGTGCTTGTTGATGACCCGTCCCTTGTTACGAAAAGTTATTGGGATTGGGATAATTGGCTTGTGTTGTACGTTTAAGTTTGTTCGTCTATGTTCAATCCCTTGTTACGAAGAGTTATTGGGAGCGAACCGCTAGATGATTAAGCGAGAGTGTCATTCTAGAATCGAACGATCCATGTCCCAATTTTGCTAAAGAACTTAAATTAATTATCCTGGATCCCCTAGCTTCTCCATATTTGTTTTGTTTATATTCTCAGGTAGATTATTTCTTTTTAGTTTTTCTTAGTTGGTAATTGTTTAACCCCTATTTGATTAGAGTGTTTTTGTTTTATTTTCTTTTTATGTGCTATCAATACAAGAGTTAAATTTCAAACCGCCTTCCTCGAGAGATCGACCCGGGAACGAATCTTTGATTCGGTACTCTGTAAAAAAATAATATATTTTGCTACAAAAAATTTGGCGCCATTGCCGGGGAAGGCAAGTAGGATATTTGCTTTTGGTGTTGATTTTATTTTCTGTGTTTCTCTTTATTTTGTGTTTTTCATGTTCGTGTCCTTTGTTTGCATCTTTGTTTTTCTTTTTGTTTTTGTTTTAGATTTCTTTCTTTTTCTCTTCATTTTCATGGCTACGTGTGGTTGTTCTACGTTGGTGTGAAGGTATTATGAGCCACAACCGTATGTTCCCCTATTCGCACACCCAATCTTGGGTTCACAAGCCGAGTTATCATGTCGGGTGCTACTACCAGTCATATCCGTAATCTTCCGATCAATGCTGGGATCCCTACACAGTCGAGCAAACTTATGAGTCCCACGAGTTCCATGTGAAGCTCGACCATATCTATGATTTCGCAATATCCCGGTTAGCTCAGGAAGAAGAGACCGCAACCCGGTGTGCCCAATTGAACCAGCCATCTCCATACGATGATTCTTTGGACTATGGCCAGACATGGTCGTATCCTTATGAGAAATAGTGGGAGTCAGTACCTGTTGAGCAGTCATGTGAGTTCCTCGAGGACTCCTCAGAGTACAATGCCAAGCTCGACCAGGCCCTCACTCTTTTAGCCTCCCAAGCGGCCCGTAGAAGCAATATTGAGTCCAGAATCGAGAACCTTGTGGAGTGCGTGCAGGCCTTAGAGGATTGAGTTAACAATTTCA